CAAGAAAAACTAAAATATTCCCAATAAAACTATAGAAGAAATATTAAATAATTTTTTGTCTAGTCAAGACTTTTTCAAGGATAAAAAAAAGTTTATGTTGACTAAGAAAACTATTACAAAAAAAAACGTTTTTTTATGAAATACTCCTAAGAAAAACATGTCATTATGTTTACGAGATATATTCCTATTTGTAGTCGACAACAAAGACATAAGAAACATCCTTGATCGTACTATATACAAAATGACCTCAAAGTACGAATTACTAGAATATAACGAATTACGTAATCCTAAAATCTACCGATGTAACATTTGAGAAAAAAGAGTAAAGAAATAAAAAATTCTCATTAGATATTATTATTTTAATCACTATGTTACTTTCTTTTTAATTTATTTAGTTTAAAGTCATGCAAATCCCTTTTGACATATATTACTCATTTTTATTATTTTTTTTCTAATATTTATTCCATTCATATGATATATACATATTAATACATTTGTTTTATCAAAACAAGATATGCAATTTAAAAAAAGGATTCATTGATAACAAATCACAATCTGTCTATATTATTTTATTTTGAATTTGGCTTTATCTTATTTTTTGTTTCATTAATGCTAGAATATGAGAAAAAAAGCAGACTAGTTTTGATAGAACGATGATTGCCTACATATTTTCATTTTCATTTGCTTTTCTTTTCTTTTTTTTTATCAAACATGGTATGACGCCTACGAATACTCATAAAAAGACTACGTCAAATCAATTGTAGACTAGATCAACATTACATCGAAGAACAAGAAAAATAAAGGTGCCAATGACAAATCACATCATTCGGAAAAGAGTTAATTCTTTCAGTAATCATATAGAATACAAAAAAAAATTACAAAAATAACAATTAGAATATATTAGAAATTCAAATGTATCTATGTATATATATCTTAATTATTATTTAGTACTTGAGACATGTTTGCATTAATAATGAGAAAATTTTTTATTCCAATTTTTCTGGTGGGGTGAAATTGTCAAATATAAAATTAATGTCATTCATCTGTTATCGACACATGCAGACATATTCATCTTTTGACACATGTCGTTAGTATTCTACAAAATAAAATACACACTTTTATATATGTGAGATTCATAATGATTACTCGCGATAACAACAAGACAGTCTGGAGTTGTTTTGTAACATTGATCTAATGCAAATTTGCATTTTATTGAATATAGTATTATATGAGTCATCTTATGTATATATATATATGCTGAATGACAAAGCAAAAAAAAAGACGAGAACATTCATATAATAAAAATTAGTAATCGATGGGAAGTAAGTAAGGAAGAAAAAAAATAGGGAGATGCTTGGAAAGAAAGCTCTGTCAATGTCGTTTTCTTCCTTCATTTGAAGAACTAAATTTCATTATGCATGTAAGATAAATATTTATTTCATATATACTATTAATATATTCATATACATAAATATGCATTTGAAAAAAAAATAACTTGTAGTCTTTAGTCATTCGAGAATTATGATTTGACTTCTCAAAATATCAATTATATATTCCAGTACTTTTCAGGTCATAGCATAATTATTTTATTAGAAGTGCTATCAAAAACAAAAATATTAAAGGATTATAATCATTAATTTTATATCCAACTGAGTATATCTACGTAATTAATATACGCACAAAGAAAAACCTGGATATATTTAAGGATCTAGATATATGTGTCATTCCTTATTAAATATGTCAAGTCCAATTTGATATTCAAAAAAAAAAGGCAAATTACATAACATTCGAATTTCACTTGATTGTGAAATATAATGCAAATTTATGCAAGTCGATTGTGGGAAGAAATTCAATGTGTCATTAAAAAATGAATCACTTTGTTTTTTTATTATATGCTTTATTTATACTGGGATTCATTGTTGCCCAGTGAGGGAGATAGAAAAAAGAAAAACTATATCATACAGAGTTGTCAGAAGAGCGAGAGTACATGAAAAATAGTAAAAGATTATACATAAGATAGTTTCACTCGCGAATGTCGAAAGCAAACAAAGAGCGATAAGATTATCGAAAACGAAATCAAAGTTCAAAAATATGAACATATCGTCCACAAAACAATCGGATTTGATGTGAATTCAAACGCACACGCGCTATCTTAAGAGTTGAAACACCTATATCGCTTCTGAGAGACCGATAAAAGGTCCATTGATGAGCTAAACTCAAAGTATCCGGATCGGTCAGAAGGGCCCCCTCAAAACGTCTCCAGTAAAGATATAAACGATCCAATAGAGTGTATTCACCTGTAATAGAAAAAAAAGAAGTGATCGGACCAATTAACCAAACCGTTGGCAAGTTTTAAATTATAGCAAAATATTTCATGAAGAGTTTCTTGTTGTGAAGTTGTAAAATCGGAAAAAACGGGAAAGGCCATATAAAAAAAGGAAAAAAATAAAACTATAAAAAATTTATCGACGTAATTGAATAGCAATTTGCCTTTCATGTTTAAACAAAATTTTAAGTATGAGTGTTCGAGAACGAATGTTAGACAAAATATGATTAAGAAAAGATTCATAAGGAGCTCGAGTATTTATTTCATATCCAAGATAGCAAAAATTCTTAGCACGCAATAAACGATATCCGTCATAAAAAAAAAGGTAAATCAGGGATACCAATTTGAGATTCCAAAAGTTGGTATACTGTTTTTGTAGGATTTAAATCGACAAGCCATGTTTTGCAGTAGATTGAAAGAGAAGCAAGCAATAGCTGACCTTTCTGCTTGAGTCAATGAAGAGATTCTTGAAAAGAAATACCGAAAGGTGAAATGTAGCTACTGCATCATCATCAGCATAAAAATTAAGATCATATTCATTGAAAATTAATATGAGATCTGAAATGAAAAGAATATAAAGAAAATCAGAAGAGAAAGCTAATCCTTGAGGTAGTCCCCATTCTAAATAAAATTTTGATGAAAATTTGCTTCGAAAAGAGAGTTGTGCTGTACGAGTATGCAATCAAGACAAAAAAAATTTTAATAAAGAATATGGCATATCTTGTCGATGTAGTTTTATGGATAAGCAAAAATGTGAGATTTCGTTGAAAGCAGAGGTAAAGTTGAGATAGAAAGTAAGTACAAGTCGATTGGAAGAGATAGCAGATTGATGAGCTTCAGTAAGTGTAAGAACACGTGTAGCAATACGTAATTTAGATTGAAAACCAGATTGTTCGTTCGGAACGATAGCTGAGTCTCGCATCTAAGTTTTAAGTTTACGACTTATAATTCGTTCATATAATTTGTCGAGTACACATAACAATGAGATGGGTCGAATTTCATCGATTGTCGGAAAAGATGTTGTTTTCGAAAGGCAAATCATTTTTGCATTTTTAAATAAATCAGGAAAAGAAGATGTTTGTAAAAATGAGTTAAATAAAACAGTGAAAATACCAATAAAACCAATGGAAAGCTTTTAAAGCATGATGTTAGAGTTGTTGTGTAAATCTAAAGATGTTTTCAGTTTCAAAGTAGAAATGGCCGCCAGGACCTCATCGAAAGTTGTTCGAAGGTAATCAAAAGATGATGTGGATAAAGTTTTGAAAATAACGCCGTACTCTCTTAATATTTTAGAAAAATCTGAATTGTCATTATCGAATCGAGGATATGAGTAGTGATTTTTACAATGTTGATGTTATAAAGCTAAAATATCCTCGGAGTTTCGTATGAGCGTAGTACCTGTAGTAAGGTTTTTGAACGGAGTCTTACTTTTCCGAAAAAACTTTGTAGAAAAATGCCAGAAAACTGATTCTGTAGAATTGTGTTGTGAAAGATATAAATGCCATTGATGGAATCGATGTGCTCGAATACATTCGTTTAATTCGGTTCGTTTCTCAATATATAAAAGAATTGCAGTAATTGTTTTAGTTTTGTAATAACGATTTCGAATTTTATAAAAAACTTTAATTTGTTGTCGAATAGTTGAAATTAAGGAACGTCTATAAAAAGAATAGGAAATATATCGAGTGGTTTGTACGTATACAGCACAAAATAATTGAGTAAAAAATTCCAAAAAATAAATACTATCGAAATTATAAACAAGAGAATTTTAATATATGGAAAAATTAAGAAAAAAAATTGTTGATAAACTGACCATTGGGTATCACGCAAAAAAAAACAATCTGTTTTTGTTGTCCAAGGACTTTCAAATAAAACAGACCAATGTTTACTAGAAACTTGAAAATAAACCGAAGATTTCCATTCACCATTCGAAACTAAACCGGTATCTAGTCTATTACTGGAGAATTTAGAGGTGGCGTGACATGGATAACAAATGTAAAGCTCAGCATCATCAGTAAACCTTTCAAGCAGTCTTCCATCACGATCAGTACGAGCGCAATCCCAGCGTGGCGAATGAGCATTGAAGTCGCCGACAATGATTGTATTGGTGGTGCGATATTCTTCGACAACAGAGCGAGTGGAACAGTTTCTGATGAAGGACTGTAGACGGATAATACACGTAGAGTCGATGATGACAAACAAATGTCAATAACTAAAAAGTTGTCAGCAGAAAAAAACAAAAGAACAATTGACACTACAGTGAACTAAAACAGCAATATCTCCCCATACATTCGAACCGGAAGTGATAAAATGAGCATAATCAGTTGCAAACTTACGCAATTCGTTTTCATCTACGATACCAGTCTCAACAAGAGTAATGATAGTAGACTGAAGGTTGTTAAGCAATGATCGAACTTCCGAGTAACGAGAATGAATATCTTGCGTGTTATATAAAAGAAGTGTCAATGTTTCAGACCAAGCTGTAGGTAGAATAACAGACGACCATTGATGAAATAAATTTTGTAAATGTTTGTCGTTCGTTCTATACAGTAATTATAGAACTAAATAAATGATTATCCAATGGAGAATCGAAAATAAATAATTGATCACATGATAGCGATAAAATTGACGGCCAATACAAAAAAGGTTTTCGAGTTGATATTCATAGTAGTGATCATGATATTGAAGAAAATATGGAAATAGTGTTGGTCGCAGTAGAAGTATCAGATAATGAATGATTTGCACATAAGTTCATTATATTATTATCAATCATTAATTTTCGAGTTTGTTTCATAGACTTTTTAAAACTTTGATGTTGTTCATAGGTAGTGTTCAAAAACATTGATGTTTTTTGTAATTGATTACTTATTGTTTCCTTTTGATTAACATGCATTGATGAGTCTAGAATGAGATGAACAAGAGCTAGTAGAGTTTCAGTAATTAACATGAACGATGGTAACATTATTTTTTCGATAAGAGAACTTACGTAATCAATTTTATGTTCTTGTATAATAGATAAAACAGTTAAGTTAGTCATTTTTTTAGCAAGGTTCGATAATTGGTCTTCAAAAGATTTAACAATAGTTTGCATAAAATCAATAAAATTTGATATGGATCTTGATGATTGAGGAACAATAACTGTTGTACTGTAGATGTTGATTTAGGTGCAATAGTATTTGTTGTGTTCTCTGTAGCATGATGTGGTGCTATTGAAGGTATCGACCGAGATGAAATAGGAGTAACTGGTGGTAATCGTTCATGAACCTACCGTAAACGGTATTGTAATTCTTTTGGAACATAAATGTGATTCGAAACAATACCTTGTTCGATAAGGTTTGTGATGAGCATTTTTTTTTAAATTTAACGTAGATGGACAATGGTGATCAAAAGCATCATGATTTATATCAAAAGAATGATTAGGCAATTTTGAGCAATTAATCCACCGAATAGAACTGCACTGATGATTTGTATCAATTAAAATAGATGTTGCACATCTGTTGCATATCTTATGTGTAGTTGAGCAATGATTGGCGAAATGTCCAAATGAACAACATCTTTTGCATTGAGAAATGCGAGGAGGATCTAAATATTGTTTAACAGCAAGACGCACATTTAAAACTGGCAGATATTGTGCTTGTAAGCATTGATTACATTCTTGAGCAATTTCAAAATCGATACGAATAAGTGTAGAATTATTTGTGTTTGAAGAAGTACGAATCCGGTGTAGATATTTAACTGAACGAAACTGTTTTTGTATTTCTTCTAAAAGATACTTAGCATCAAGATAACATGAAACATTTAAAAGAAGAAGTGAAAGTTGGGCTGGTAAGCCACATGGTGGTGTGACTTGTATGGTAGATGTACCGATGGTAGATGGATAAGTATTCGTGAATAATAGTGAAAATACATCTCTGGTTGGAGCACAGAGCAACAATTGATTTTTATTATTTAAACGCCATAATGTATCACTAATTCGAGGTAATGTTGGATGAGCATTGGCAAGTGAACGTAAAAAATGAACAATAGCTGGTGATGAATGTGATGTAAAAGCTGGAACACCAGTTATGGTAAGAGGTGGATATGATATCGAATTTGTGTGTTTAAGAGCTTCAGAACTTATCGATGTTGTTTGTTCTTCAATATTATTAAAAGATGAATGTGATGTAGATAGAGTCGAAAGATTGATGCGGCTATCGAATTCGTTGTCAATACGAATTTTGGTGTTACTTTTATCTGATTCAGTTTCTTGTTTTGGAATTATTTGTTTTCTTTGAAGATGTATTTGATTTGAAAATAGTTGCTGATCTTGCATAATTTCACGAACAAGTACGAAGCCGAGAAGGTTAGATCGAAAGATGTACTATTTTGTGTTGATTTATTCTATCCAAAATGTTCGAGAATTGTTCGAACTTGGTGTAAAACTCCGAAGAAAAAGAGAAAATTTATCATATTCGAAAAGAATTATTTATATCGTGCGTGACTAATTTTGAAAGAAAAATGTGAAGCATAAGTATTTTCTATTGGTGAATAAGATAATAAATTTTTTTTTAAGTAATGGAATATTCTATTTCTTTTTTTTCTAAAGAATTAATTAATTTTCAATCGTTGTTAACAATAAAAACAAAAGCTTTAACAAGGAATTTGATTTAAATAATAAAAATATTTAAATAAAAGAGAAGACAAATTTTCATTAATAAATAATATTTATTATGATTTTGATAAGCCTATTCGTTCAAGTTTCTATAAGTAAAACAATGTTTTCTTTATTCATATAATTCAATACATAGACCAATAAAAGACGCTCAGAAAATTTACGTATGTCAATAATTTACATAATTCTCTTTAAAATATTAATCATATATTTTCCAGATCAATGAATTACTTATATGTTGTCTTAGTACAAATATTCTCTATTAAATTTCTAATAAAATTCTTTTACATTAAACTCTTTGCCTCCTGGTACCCACGCATTAGAGTTAGTATTGGGTTAGCCTCAGGAATAGCCTATACAAGTGTTAATTATGACAGTAATATAATTAAGTTTTTTGGCAAAAGTTATTTTATTGTAGAGATGCATAATGCGTCAAACATGACATATTCCGTTTTAAATGACATGAGAATTGAACTTGTTGTTAATTTATTTTTTTTTTGTAATTCTTCGTCGTTTGATTGTTAGTTTATCTGTATAAAGCTGGAAATCTATTTATTATGGATTATTTTTTGAAAAATGATTTCTTTTCGCCAGATGATATATGATTAGACATGTGCATAGGCAGTTATATTCGGATTGAAATCGGGTCTTTTATTTCTAGGATCATATCTTTATTTTCTTTTTATAATATCGAATAATTAATTCTGATTTTGGTTCAAAATTAGTCATTGCTATTGTTAAGATGTCGTCCAGAGGAAGACCATAACAGAAGGTGCAGGTTTCTATCTTTTATCGATAAAAAGTTATTTAAAAACGGTCGTGAAATGCTTTTTTGATTGGTTATTAGTTCTAATAAAATCTAAAAAATAAATATCGTGTTATTTTATGAATTTATATGGGAAATAGAATAACTGGAGAAAAACCATTTTTTATATTATTCACTACGAATGAGTTAAAACTGGTTTCAGTTGTCATGAAAAATACTGCTTCCACATCTGTAATTAAGAATATTTTAAAAATCACTCTGCAAATAGATTATACTTGTAGTAATACAGTGGTAGAGAAAAGCTTCCATCCTCGCTGGACTTTATCAAATGAAGTGATGAGATGAAAACTGTTTTTATTATGTAAAAGCTTAATAGTACATTTTGATCATTAATATCACATAAAGTCACCATGACTTTCAACAACTTCAGAAATTCAATTTTTCATACTACGTACAAGTTTGTTGGCCAAGTCCGATGGTAAAGATCTTCCATTCACGTTTTATATGTCGAAACAAAAGATTAATAAGTTGTAAACTTTTTCGTTCTTAACTTTACCTTGAGAAGTTGTCAAACATTTTCAATGGATGCAAGATCGGATGACATCGACAATCAAATCATTTTGTGAACTGTTGACAAAAGATAACACAAAAATTTCATATCGAGGCTCTGCTTTAAACAGACGATACGCCCAAAACCTTTACTTTGATAGAATGTTTGAATGTTCGCATAATCTTGTTTTTTTCGTGGCAAAGTTCCAAATCATTGACAAAATTCAGACGATTGGTAATATTGTCAGAAAAGATCATTTGATTTTAGTTCGTCGGTTTGTGATCTTGAGCTCAATTTAAATCATTCTCTCGATAGTGGTCGATTGTATCTTACTTCTGTTTTGTTCAACCGCCGTCGCACCATTCTCTTGTTAATCATGATTCGTTTTCTTTTCAAGCAGTTTACGATGTCTCGGCTAGTGACGAGCGTCTGTTGTTAGTGAGCAAAACAATTTCTTGATTCTGTTTTGGATTAGTTGAACGCGGTGGACCAGAGTGAGTTGAATCTGTCAAGTCTTTTGACTGCTTCCACCATTTGAGCCAATATTTCACCATTATCATAGTCATATGGCTTACCTTTGGGCCCAACAAGTATTGAGATAAAAATAAAAAATTTTGTACTGCTGGTAGGGCCCGATGCAAGAGCTATGTCAAACCTAAATGATTAAAAACAACACTGCAGGAATGAGCAGTAGTTCTGATCAGGAGGTGGCTAGTACTGCTTATTTATACTAATCTTATGAAAAGTTCTACTATCTACTATTGTATATATCAACTTCATCAGTATTAAAATAAACAGTCTGTGTAGGTCAATAAAATAAAAGAAAAAAGAAAACAGATTTTTTAAAACTTTTGTTAAAAAACACCTTTTTTCAACTCATATATCTTAGCCAAGGAATGATGAAAAAAAAGTTTCATTTTTTTTTTGAGTTCGTAATTTATTGAAGTCTTTAGATAATGTTCGAGAACCACTTCTATCGAATAGTTTCTTACTCTAAATAGATAATTCCTATGAAATGATAAAGAATGACCCAACACAGGAAAGTAAATGGTTAATAAACAACATTTCGATTTCTAAAACAAAGAATCTTTATGTAACATTTATAATTAGAATAACTAAACGTAATCCTTCTATTAAATCATTAGAAATAAACAAAGTAATTTAACAAAAAAAGTTTATTATATTTTATGAAGAGTATACTATCAACTGATACTACTTTTTTTTCTGCTCGAAATACAAAATATAATCTTGCATAAGACAAAGCAATTATAGTCGTAGTTCTTCAATGAGAAAATTATAATCATTCTATTTCGAAAATGAAATTATGTTTCATTTGAATTATTATATTGATACATAAAACTGAACTTCAATAGTTAAACTTGTTATATATATATATATATATGTGTCGTTCACTTTCTGTCTCTCTTTCTTAAACAAACTGATTTTTCATTTTCGAAAAACAAAAAAAATTAATAAAAGCTTCGAAATAAGTAAATTCATTTTATCGATCTTAATCTTCCTGATATTACTTCCTTATAATTATCAGTAATCCCTGCTCAATATTCATAAAATTGAATTGAAAAAAAAAGAGAAGCCGCTTTTGTTCGTTTCATACACTAAAAGCTAGAAGTGATTTGAGACAGGTGATTTCCTCAGGAATCACCTATTGATCAAAGGTTTACGTTCAAATAGTATACTGACGAAGACATACACCCACGCACGCACACACACACCCACACACGTAAAAGAAAGTGAGAACGAATACGTATTCGAAAAAAAAAGAGGAAAGAAAGTAAAACAAGAAAAAAAAACGTGTTTTAAATAACAAGAAAATCAAGTTGAAGGAAGATTTGTTGATGAAGGTGGCTGTGAGGTAGTCGATAAAGGTGGTTGTTGTGCAAACGATGAAGGAAGTGATGATACAGAAGCCATTGGTATCGATTGACTAGACGTTATAGACGATGAAGGAATAGCAGAAGCCGTAGTCGTTACAGTTGTCGTAGAATTGGATAAATCATTTGCAGATGATACACTGGCAAATAATGGTGTATATTGAGCATAGATTTCACTAGGTACATGCTGACGAAGAAATGCATTTTCATGTTCAACACTATTCACTTTGTCAGTAAGTGTTCGAATTTGTTGACGTAATTCAGTTACTTCATCACGAACAGCTGATAACAAATGCATTTTAACAAGATCCTTAAAAAAAGATCAAATGAAATATTCATTTTCGATGTGTCTTCTCGAAATCGTTTGTTTTTTTAAAATAACACCGTATGATATGAAATAATCATGATATGAATTCATAATTTTCTATTCTTATATAATCATTTTTAATTTGGATCACTTTTAACTTTTTATAATAATATTTTCTTCAAAGATTTTTTTTTTTGTTTTGACTTTTTTTTCATGGATAGTCAATAATAATTTATAGAAGTTATGTCTCACGAGAGAAGTTTCCACAACTGATTACTTGCTTTTGAGTTAAGACTAAGTGTATCATGTAGACTCTCATGAGCTATGAATACTCCGAGAAGAGTTTAGACCCTTACGAGAAAACTACTATTGGGTTTATAAAGAGGTCTCGGTAAGGCTAAAAAATTCTAAAATGGTTTGTGCTCATGAATCTTTGACGTCGAGTTATGATCGTTTTACTGAATTTCGACCTGAAGTGTTGCCCATAGATAGATCTGATGATCTTGAGAATATCTTAATAGTTTCAGCCGAAAAGAATATTCTTTTATCGAGATATTAAATTTTTCATTAAACTCAATTTTTGTGACAAATGATCATTTTTTAGAAATTTAATATCTCGACAAAGGAATATTCTTTTTGATTGAAACTTTCAGAATATTCCTAGAGTCATCAGACCTATCTATAGACAACATTTCAGGACGAAATTCAATAAAACGGTTCTAAAACGAATTGAGAGGCTCATGACTACGAACCCTTCTAGGATGTGTTCTAGTCTTACCGAGACTTCTTTTGTGAATTTAATAAGCGCTCAAATGAGGTGTATCAGTTCGGGTAGGTCTCTCGTTAGCTTATTACTATAGAGATACTGCATTTTTACTGTATTTGTCAAGCCAATGCTGTAGATCCTGCTCAAGAACACTACGACAATTGATTAACCTGTCTTTGTACAAAATTTCAAGTCAAAATTCGAAAATCAATTTTTCTGATGTTCTTGAAAGGGACCATCAGTATTCAGTTAAAAAATACTATAAAAATGAAGTATCTTCACAGTGATAAGCTACAGATCAGAACTCTTTTCAGTTTTTGTTTACATGATATACAGAATCCTGAACCAAAAGCGATTAATCAGTTAGATGACTTCCTTTTATTAGTGCTTCTTATCAAATAGTTTCTCTTCTCTATTTCAAATTATATACAATAAACTTTTCATATGTTTTATAAATCAAAATCTATTCTATCAAATGTCACTTACCATAGCTGCTGAAATTTTATTGTCAATATCCGTTGTACTAAAATAGATAAGAAAAAAAAATCAATAAATGCATCTCATCAGAAGAAGCATATATCATGCGAATATAGATTAAAAATGAGCAAGAGAAAAAAAGCCAAAAATAGAGATTTTTGAGCGTGAATAATAATTCAAAATATCTTTTTTTCTTATGATTTATTTGATTTTCGTTTTCTTCAGCATAGTATTTAGCCATGAAAAGAAATAGATATAAGCGTGAGTGTCATTCATCGATTAATACGAGATCATTTAAATATATGTTTTATATTTGATATGTATGTGCTTTTTTTTTGTTCAAGTATATTAATGCGTATGCAATAGAATTTAAATATGTTTTTTTTTGTTTTTGAATACCTGCGCTGTCGCCTATTTCTTAAACGTACTCGTCTCTCTGATAAACTGAAGCTTGAAATATGGTGAGAGCAGTAAAAATAATAACAAAAAAAAAGAAATAAATAATAACTTTTTAACTTACTTATTTTGTTTTGTTGGTGTTGTTAATTCTTTAAGAATTTCATTAGCTATCTCAGTATTTTGACTGTTTTCACTATTTAATAAACCCATTGCAGCAACAGCTGTAACAGCAGCAGTTTGTGCAGCTGTTTGTGATAAATTTAATTGTGGACCACCTGTTGTATATGACCATATATCATTTAAAGAAGCTGTCGGTGCTTTATTTGGACTATTCATATTACTCGGATTATTTGTTTGTATTGTTATAGGAGACATAAGTGTTTGTGATGGTTGTTGAACATTTGATAATGAAGGTGATGTTGATAATAGATCAGTTATATATGTAGGATTTGTTGTTTTTAATGTATCAGTATTAATATTATTGCCGATTGTTATTACAGGTCTTGTTTGATTTATTTGTGCTGTTGTTGTTTTTAATAGATCATTATTAGTACCATTTGTTTGTGTTGTTAAAAGTTTTGTTGGTGCTGTTGTTGCCGTTATTTTTGGTTGTTGACAAGAAGTTTTTGTTGATGTTGTATCATGTTTAGGTGAAGTAAGAATTGGTGCTTGTTGTTGTTGTGTAGATGATACTTGATGAGATTGTATCTGTTGTTGTTGTTGTTGTTGCATGTCAGTAGTATTATTTGGAATAACCTGAGCGAGTGATGTTGGTCTTGATGTTGATGGTTGTGTAGCAGGATGATAAGATGGTATAGTTGCATAAGGCGAAGCAGTGTTCGGTGGTGCTTGTGAAATATATGTTGAGTGAGGATGCTGAGTAGCATATATAAATGATGCAGTAGTTGCACCAGCCATTTGAGCATTTTGTAAGTGATCATTAGTCGGATTTGGAAATAGATTACAAGAGATGACTGAATTTTCACTAGTTCCATCAGAAACTAAAGAAAATAACAAATATCAAACAGATTAATAATATAGATTTTAACAAACTGATATTTATTTTTTGAAGATAACAACACATTTTAAAGATACTATTCTAAGTTTATTCGATAGAGAATTTTTACGATCTACAAAACTGTTGACTTTGTTCTTCAAATAAGTTTTTTTTCGTTACAGAAAAATCGAAAAGATTGACAAAACAATTATTAAAAATATTTTTTAAATAACAGTTCGGTCATTAGAAAACGATATAAAGAACTCTTTCTGGCAGTCGCATGTCATTGGAGATAATCTAAAGATTTTCGTTGTTCGCTTTAAGTGTTACATCATTTTGTTCAGAATTAAATTTTCTATCTGATATTATAATAAAGGCATAAAATCCTGCATCTATTAATGCTAAATACTTTACATTTAGTATCGAACTTGATGAGCATGAGTTTGTATAAATCGTTAGATGTCCGTAAAAAATAGCAGGAAGTCACTATGAGACTATGAAGCAGTCATCAATCTTTCCAATTTTTCATCGGCAAGAAAAACTTATTTAAAAAAAAATGAAGTCTACATTTTTTGTAGAGCGAAAAATTCTCTACCGAATGAGATTAGAATGATACATTTAAACATTGTTTTCATTCTTCAAAAACGAAAAAATCAAACTGTCCCATTATTTTTAGATCAATCACTAGTAAAAAAACGACTTTAGAGTTTTTCGTAAGATTGCTATATCTCAGCTGAAAAATGTTGCAGAAAACTCAAAGACATCTTATTTTGTAGACAATTATTTACTGTATCTTTCTATCTAGTCCAAACAAAATTATATTTACACGCTCTAGGTGTTGAAAAACTAGACTTTTCGAAAGTTTCTATTTTTAGAAATTTGATCATAATTTTGATATCCTTATTCGAAGCCATTTTCTCATTTATAAAACGTTTCAATATACCTGTATCCGTATGTCGTATAGGTTCACCGAGATTTCCAGTTGGTAATTGAGATGTTTGTTGTTGATGTGGTGGTATTGATGGAGGTAGAAAAGAATTTGAAGCAGCTAAAGCAGCCCATTGAGCAGCATATGGTGAATAAGGTGGTAGCAGTATTTGATAATAACCAAATTGTGGATGACTTGGTAAAATATAAGCTTGATTTGGTGCTGCCATATTAGGTAATGCTGCTGTTGGATAAGCAGGAAGAAGACCAGCTGGTGGTGGAACATTTGCTGTTGGTACAATTGTTGTTGAATTATTCATTGCTAATCGTTGTTGTTGTTGTTGTTGTTGTTGTTGTTGTTGTTGTTGTTGTTGAAAAGCAGTTGCAGCTGCAGCAGCAGCTGACTAGAAAACAAGAAAATTTTATTTTATTCAAAAAAAAAACAAAATTCTTACAGCAGCTGTTGCAGCAAGTGTTGCTGATGAAGTAACATTTGAATCAGCATGTACCATTGATGGTATATTAGATTGTATTGTTGTTATTGGTGCTGTTGTTTGTATAGTTGATGTATTGGAATTGTTTACAGATTCATTTTCAATAGTATTATTCACCGGTGGATTATTTATAGCTGAAATATTTTCAGGTGGTTCATAATCATTTACTTTCCAACGACCACGTACAAAATTTCTATCAACACGAATCATTTGAAAACGTGACGGACATACGGATTCATCAGTGGTGATTGTAGTTGTAGCAGGAGCAGATGATGGTGGTGGTGGTTGTTGTTGTTGTTGTTGACTAATAATAGTAGTTGTTTCATCATGAGCATTAACGGGATTTGTTGGTAATTTATCAACATTGACAACATGAAATTTTCCAATTAATTGTTCATTATTATTTGTTGAATGATTTACTGTTGATGGACCATTCATAGTTCTTTTCTTTTTTGGTTTTTGTATTCACTTTGATTAATAAGTGATAATAATTAGATTTAGTGATAATAAGATCATACCGAACTTTTCGGTTTTGTTTTCTCTTTTTTTGTCTACAAAAATAAAATATTAACTCAAGCAAAGTAAATATAGAAAATTAAATGCATAAATTTATTGCGCAAGAAAAATAAAGAAATACACACATATCATTAAAACAAAAAGAAGTCACTCTAAGAGTAAAATATTATTAAATTGTGTAGAAAATATTTGTTTGATTTTATCTAAATGAAAAGTTAATATGTTGTTAATATAAAATAAGAAAAAAAATAAAATATTTTACCGCTTATATCTTTTAAATTTGCATTCTTTTGATTTATAATTACTAATAATTCACGCATATCGGATCGTTTAGCTATTATCCATGGATCATTTTCACGTTTAACCATTATTTCACCGGATGGATGAAACCTTAAAAAAATTTAAGTTTTACAAATAAGTCTTCATTATTTAATTAGAATTTTGAAATTTTTTAATAATTTTTCATATCATATTCATATAAACAAAAAATAAAACTGATAGAGATTTAAAATCTTAATATGACTTAATAAAATTCTAAAGGATATAAAATAATTTATATTTTATTTCCTAAGTTAAAGATCATGATTTATGTTTAGAAAAAAGAAAGTTTCTATAGATTTATCATACCATTGCAAATCTTCAGCAAGCGTACTCGTAATACCAATCATAGTATTATTTGGTTCTCGATTCCAATCAACTGTTGATGAATGTGCCATATTCATTTTATTAAAATAAATAGTCCTTACATTGGCATCTATTCTATTAAATAAATCAATATATATTTTTTTTAATATTCAATATAGTTTAATTTTTAAATTAAATACACATACGTAGAATGTTTTTTTCGTGAATTTTCTTCAAAATATGGTAAAATTTCATCGAAATCTTTTTTATATGAATTAATTTTTGATAATGTTGTTTCATTGTTAGATAGTTCTTCATCTTTAATTAAAAAACATATATATTAATAATCATTAAAATAAATATTTAAAAAAAGATTTTACCATTATAAAATATACAAAAAATAGTAAATAAATTTATATTTATAACAACTATTCGATGTGATGTAGCTGGACAACCCAAAAAAAATTCTTGACTAATTACATCTGTTGATATAATTAATTCATCAGATGGATTTGCACTTGTATCAATTGTTAAATATCTACAAATATCATATTTATATATGATTAAAAGAAAAAAGATCACGATTACACATATGATAAGTAACCTTCTTGTTTCTATGACGCATTTTTAATCATAGGACAACCAATAAAAAAATAAAAAATACAATCATTTTTTCATCATCTAATCTTTATATGATTGGAGTTAATATCAATCTTTGTTTTTTAACTCTCAGGAGATTTCTATAGAATTACACATTACATTGAAAAGAACAGAAAAAATTTAATTTTTTTTTTAATCTGTTATCACTTATAACATTGGAATCTGATCCGAGTTTCTCTGACGAACTTTCTCTTTGTATTTATTAATATAGATAAAGCGTAAGACGAAAGTTTTTATTCATTTTGTTTAATAAAAAATTTTATCGTACAATTGTCTTGATAGACAAACAAGTACAGTGAATCACGTTCTTCAAACTATAAATTAATCCCTATAACTTATATATTAAAAAGTTTATCCTATCATAGTTAACAGCTAGTTAACTGTTGACCATAAAAAAAAATGAAAATAAACGACTAACGAAGGAATTTCTCCAAATGATACTCACCGTTTGAGCTTATATTGGACTCACAACTAGATCTCAGAGAAATTAGCAAAAATCTAGACGGATTCGGCACCGAGTTATGAGAAATTTATTGGATTTTTGACTCAGTTTTAGATACCTCCCGGAAGACTGAATATAATGGAGTTTTGATCTAAAATTTTGTCTATAGATAGCTCTAATGACTCTTAGAATATCCTGAAAGTTTCAATCGAAAAGAATGTTCTTTCGTCGAGTTATTAAGCTTTCAAGTGAACACGATTTTTGTGATAAAGGACTATTTTTGAAAATTCAATATCTTGACGAAGAAACATTCTTTTCAGCTGAAACTTTCAGGATATTCTAAGAATCATTAAACTTATCTATAGACAAAATTTTGGCTCAAAACTTCATTATATTCAGTCTTTCGAAAAGTACCTAAAAATGAGTCGAAAATTCAGTAAAGATCATAACTTGCTGCTAAACCTTTTATGGACTTTTACTATTCTCATTAAGATCTGCCCGGAGATCCAATATGAGCTCAAACGGTAGGTGTCACTTCGAGTAGTTCCTTCGTAAGTATAACCCAAACAACCAACTATCGTTGTAAAAACTATTTTATCATCAATTGAGTATGTAATCCATTAACTGGATATATAATTGATTGTCACAAATTAATTTTGTCTATGAATAGAAAAACTCCGATGTGGATAATTAACATTACAATTGAAAGATCACTTTTTGTTTTACTTTTACGGCTTTCGTAGACTATTCTGTTAGGATAGTTCTTAGTTTAACACATTTTTTTACTAGTTTTCTTTTCTTAATATTTGATATATCTTTCGTCTTAATGATTATCGATGTAGATATAAAGAAATTTTCATAAGAATATAATTCATCAACGATGTTTGCTATTTTCTCAATAGGAATCTTTTCAATTCATAGATAGAATTAATGAACGACACTGATTATAACCAGTTACTGATTCAGACATGGACAAAAAAAAAAATAATGTCAATGGGAGTTTCGCATGTAATTGCTTAGGTTATACTAGGTATACTATTTCATTTTTAATGACTAAAAATATTAAAGGTCAATTGTCTTTTCATTATAAGAGACATGTCTAGACTGAAAAATGCCTTGATACATACGATGAATTTATAGTCATTTTGAAGAACGTGTTTTATTATACTTTTTCTATGCAAAAATGAGTCAAGACTTTTTAGAGCCATGCTCTTTATATGCATTATGTCAATTGTATGTAAGTTGATAGAAATTTTTTTTTTGTTTCGAGCGGTAACATTACTGAATACAAGAGAAAAAATATTATTACTAAGAATTTAGTTGTAAATTAAATATAAAAAATATCTCAGTTTTATAGAAATCTATTCTTCCTGTTACAAAATTTATAATATTGATATGCTTGTTTAATATAATTTTCTTCTTTTACCTTATAGTAGATGTATTTTGTAATGTTTTAATTTGTGGCCAATAATGAAGTCGAAAATATGAATAGATTAGACTAGTATCATCTTGATTAAGACCACTCCTTAAAATAAATAAATATATATATATGTGTCAAAAAAAGAAATATCTATTTAATATACCATATAAGTTGATTTCTGTATAGAAACAATGTTTCTTTCAATGATGTAAAACGCAATTCAAATCGTCGTAAAATTGATTGAATTTTTATATAGTTTATTTTTTCAACTGGTAGAAATTGTATACCGAAATATGAAGAATCAATTGTTGTATCAACTATCATTCTATGTAAACGATTTTGAATAAACTAAATAAAATAAAGTATTTAATACATTCAAGAATAAAACAAAGCAAGTTCTAGATTTTATCATTAAAAAAAATTATTTCATACATATGTCTTTGTTTTCTTTTTTGGTCATGCGAAATAGATCAGTTTTCTATTAATTTTTATTTTATCAGTTCGAGAGTCGTGATTGATGATCTTATTCAATTATATATTTTTCTAAGGTTATTTCATCTATAGAAATTTACAAGATTAAGATTAAAATTACTTAACAAACATTAGTCAGTATCAATGCAATACAAAAAAATCTTTTTTTATATTATGATAGTCAATATTGTTTTTTATCTAATCAATAGTTAAAATTCTTATCTCAAACTTCTTAAACTTTTGTAATAGTGTTATAATAGTTTTGTCGTTGTAATCAATCAGTATGTAAATAAATGCGACATACAACAAAATATACTAACACAATGCATTAAATACTTTGATGACTTTTACAGTCTGCTAAATAATCCTAATCTCAATATTGTAAAATTTTATAGGTACAACGACATCATAAAAAGTGCTTCATTGAATAATATCATTAGTCATGATTCTCAAACTGATATAATAAAAAAAATCCTAGCAAGCTACTCTATTAGGCACAATCCAAAAAAAACAAACAAATGTTCAAATTTTTATTCATTCTTGAAAACATTAACAAATTAATTTATCTTTAAAAAAAAATCTCTAATATCATATTTAAACATAATTTTAATAGAAAATCAATGTTTTATTTATTTTCTTCTATCAATAAAAATTAAAATAATCTATTTACCTTATCAAAATATATTTTAAGTGTATTTTTTAATTCTTCTATACCATTCGGTTGAACTAATGAAGACATTGTTCCATGTTGTAACTTGATAAATTAATAAAATAAAATATCTTATCATGATTGTATTTTTTATGAATAACTTACAACAAAATATCGATAGGACATTTTTAAAATAGATAACATAAGTCTATCATTAATATGTTCATCATAATATTCGATAATAGATTTTTCATTTTTTTTTCGTTCCATATTTGGAACATTAAGTGTCTTAAATAAATAAAATATAGTAAAAAAAAAACAAAAGAATTTTCTTTTTGTTTTTTCTTATACCATAGTAAGACAAATATCATGTTCAACTTTACAAAATAAGAGACGAGTCTTTTGTAAATGTACGCATTCACATTGATCATCAAAACCAAATGTTCTTGAACAAATAAATTTTTATTTATTTATTTTATAATATTAAAAATAAATATTTAATTTAATAAATTAAATATACTCAGTAAATTGAATTAAACCTTCACAATAACCGATTGTACGTATCTGACGATCGATATCTACATTGGATGGATAATAATAAAGAATTTTTCGATGTTCCTAAAGAATTATTTTCTATTAAAAGAAAAGAAATTTTG